AAGGATGAATAGTGGGAGATAGAAATTATGATTTGCCAAGCGACACCAGAATTCGAAGAAAATGCAGCAGGTAACATGGCTAGAAAAGAAGATTGCGTCAAAGGTTAACAATGCCATGTTCCATAGCCACGGTTACAATGGCATCTTTCGCATCACTCACATTGCAAACTATTGTACTGGAGAAACTATTGTTTCTCGTCCCATTGCGCGCAATAGTGACCCGAAAGGGATTGGAGAGAAAAGATGGAAGGGGTTAAAGTACGAATGGAATAGAGTCGCGTACCAACGTTCGTGTTGGAGACAAAAGAGTTACGTCAGGCCCATTCAGCCAAAACGCTTTTGTGCGTCCGGATATTCTTATTTCAATGCCAGCAAAAGAAACGGAAGACTAGACGATAGAAAGAAGATGATCGATATATATCGGCACTCGGTCAAGTCATCAAGTCGTGTGTCGTTTAAAATCTTTCGAGATTTACTCTTTTTCTATCCGTCCAGAAATATATTATGAAAACTGGATAAAAGAGAGAAAGAGAAAGAGAAAGAGAATGAGAAACGAAAGAATGGAAAATATTGTGAATTCTTTTGTCTTCAATCAATTAGGAAAATATGTTTAGAAAACAAAAAAAAAATTTAGTGTTTAACAATGAAACCAACTCGCATCATTCCATTTTGTCCTGAGATTTTTTTCCTTATTGAAAATAATATATATATATATATATATATAAGTACATTTATTAATTGTATATTTTAAATTTTACTTGAACGATAAATATACGTGCATTACTATTTTCTATTAACTGAATTCGCGATGAATATGTGAATTGAGAAAATGCAAAGTGACTATCTCAGATTACTCAGATAATTATTATCTTTCTGGAAAAATAAAAAATATTAAACATTGTATATAAAAAAAAAGAAGAACAAAAAGATAAAATTAATGGATTTTTAAAAAATTGCTCAGTATAATATTACTAAGTAATCATGTAATAACCACAATGGAAGCTTAAATATTTTACTAATTTTTATGCATTCCGAATTCCTGAGTCTTGCTAATAAACAAATTATACTCGAAGATGGATATCTTATATTCCTTATTATCAGTATCGAGTTATTCTGTGATTTTAGATAGATAATAAATTATCTTTAATTAATATATTTTTCAATTTAGAAAATATATTTATAAAACTAATGAAAAACGAAACGATTCCTTCGATTTATAGTATAAAAGTATAAAATTATTTAAATAACAAAGAGAAATTTCGCGCGAAAAAGACAATCAGATTTATTGCATTTGTTAAATCTCATATGATTTATTGCATTTGTTAAATCTCATATGACATCGAATTATATCGAATTAAATTTCTTCTATTATATTATTACAGAATTTGAAATGAGAGAAAAAGAGAAAAAAATAACATTTACAATCTCTTAGACATAGCAATGATACATATATATAGCATCTCAATTATATATATTTATATTTATCTATAAAATTCAAACGAGAAAAATAAATAAACATGTATTTACTTCTCAAGAACAAAAGAAACTTTCACGAAATTTTTAATAGAAAATATGAAAAATGAAGGAGAACAAGAATCTGGGAAAAAAGAAAAGAAAACAGAAAAGAAACGAAACGAGACTGTCGTCGGTAATATGATATGTAATGGAATAAATTTATGAATATTAATACTGTAAAATACATGCAGAGTCGAATGTGTCATAATATCATAATATGACATGAAGTGGAAGCAATCTATATATAAGGAGGAAAAGAAAAATATCATCGATATGCACCGCGATTGTCACGAATAATTTATAATGTAATGTAAGTAATTATAAAATAATTTATAATTCAGCGAATAAATTTCACTTCTTTTGTAAATTACTTATGAGTTTTCGAAAAAATTTGTGGTCAACGTGGAAATCAAAATGGAAAAATGGGAAATTGGACAATGTATATCATTAAATATATTATTAAAATTATAAAATGAAAAAAAGAATATAGAATATATATAAATAAAGAATATATAGGAAAAAAAATTCAGTTGCTTGTATCGTGAAATTATCAGGGCGAAATGATATAAAATTTAATCAAATATATTACAAAGCCAGCTGTTGCTCTTAGCGAATTTTAATTTGCTAACCACGTGACGACGATATTGTGCATCAGCTAATAAAATTATTAAAAAAAGTTCGAACAACATTGGTACAGCAAAAATATTTGTATATGTGGCAATAGATGCATTAAGCGATCAATTATTCAATTCATTTTGAATCATTTTTAAAAGAAAAAATATTCCGTTTTTTAAGAAGGAAAGGAAAATAAATGCATAAATGCATATTAGAAGTTGCATATTAGAATTTGAATCTATTTAGCATATCAGAGATGAATAATTCATCACGACTTAATATATGAGATGTATTTCAATAATTACAACAAGTGTTAAATGAAAAGAAATTTCATTAAGATCACATAATACATTTGCTATTTTTATTGATGGCACCTTTATTTCAATTCATTATTACGTTCTTTAATTTTAATAATTATTCCTAATAAATAATTATTAATAGATAATATTTTGAAAAGTAATGTTCCAAAAAATTTAAATGTCATTAATTGATAATCTATATTTCAATTTCCAATCTAACTTTGACAAAAAAAATATTTTTTTTCTCTTCAATTTATAATAATTATTTATGTTAATTACAAGGAAAGTCGAAATCAATGGAATATATGTTAATTTATATATATAATTTATATAATTAAATATAACGAGCGTCTCCAGTTCGATTTTGACAGAGATATACATTGAAATCTTATTTTCTTGATATCAGCGATAAATATAATAATAGGAGAAACTAAAATTCAGAACATATTATATATATTTTATATAAATTATATATAAAAATATCTATAATGAGTATTATTAATCACGATCTGTTTCATCTGTCAATATGAAAACAATGCTTCATAGTTGAAAAACTAGCATTATTTCGAGAAATATTATGACAAGATCGAATTCCAAACTTAATATATACAGAATAAAAAATGATTGTAATTTCAATTATATTAAAAGAAAATATAACTTATTGGAAATAATGAGATTGAGAAAAACTAATCTAGAACTAATCTATATATATTCAATAAAATAAATAAATGAAATGTTTAAATTTATATGAATACATTATTAAATATGAACAAAAAAAAAAAAAAATAAAAATAAAGCAATTACAAATGAAATAAACTTTTAAGTATAATTAAATAGATAATAGTTTTTTTTTTTAATTAGTCATTTAGCTTAGTTTCTAAATGTAGAAATTTCATTCCATAAAACTGTTTCTGAAAATTCGATTTTATTAATGAATAGTAAATAAGTAATAAATAAAAATAAATAAATTAATGCTTAAAAAGATTAGTAATTAAAAAGGATAATAGAATAATACAAGATTGGTTTAGCGTGACGTATTTCTTGGCCGATAACAAAAACACTCAATTGTATAAGTAATTAAACAAGAAAGAAAAGAAAACAATCAAAATGCCGAAAAGTTTTCTGCTGGAAACCTTTCAAAACGTTCAATTAGGCACAACGCCAAACTAAACTCGATCCAACAATGTTGCACAGATCAAATATCAAATACCAAACGATAAACTGAAATTTTTTGTTATAAATTTCATATAATTGCCATATAATTTATGTCATCGAATACGTTATTATTTAAAAATATAAACAATTGAAATGTATATAAACACTCGACAACGATAAAATCAAAAAATAAGAAATATAGGTAAATGAAAAAAATGAACACTCGAAGATTTTCTCAAATCTCACAATATATTGATTTTGATAAAGATACGTTATAAATTTTTTTAAATGAAAGACATTTAACTTAAAAAGTGATTAAATATAATTAATATTAAAAAATATATGTAGTTTATTTAGTCAATGAATATTTCAGAAAGAATAAAAATTTTAATTTTGAAAATGATTTAGTAATTGTGAAGATATAATCGATGATTCAAGAAATATTATCAAAAATTTTAATAACTAAATAATTTTTTAATTAATAAAATACTTTAATTCTTTCTCAATAAAAAAATATATAATAATATTTTGTTTTATTATTAAAAAAATATTGTATTTTTTTATTGCAATTCTTCTTGCGAATTTTTATTTTGTTAACATTACTTCGCATATTTTAAAACATCAATAATTGTACAACAACATTGAATTAAAATAAAATGAAAAAAAAAAAATTTAACGATAGTAACGAACTGTTAAGATAGCATGCAACAAGAATTGCTCGGCACTAGCAGTGACGTCACTCTATTTTAACGAAGCGAGGAAACTGTTGTACTCCGGCTGAGATATTGAATGGGGAACGAGTACGTCTCTCCTGCCTTCCCCGACCACTGGAAGGTCATTGCACACTCGTAAACAAACAGGACGCGCCGTCTATAGTACGCTCGGCCGCGTCACTGAACGTACACACCGATCTAATACCACAGCTCAAGGTCATCCTGTCATAATAGCCCGCTGCATATCAATAATTGATTTAAACGCAATTTGACCAAAAAATTGTTAAAAAAATCAAACTTTCTAATGATAGGTCATAAAATTAAAATTGAAAAATAAAAAATATAATTGATGAAATTGTTGATCAATAAATTTTTTTCAAATTTTTTTATATTTTTAAAATATGCGCCAATTAACAGATTATTTCGATCAATTCGCGCATATTAAAATCCCATCACGAACAATGTACGAGTTACTTATTATGTTGACCGTTAGAAATTCAAATATGGCGATCGAGAATGAGTTTTCATGTTTGAAATTCATGATTATTGTTTAAACTTCCTCATAGGTACAATTATTATTATACAATTAATTAAATACTACAATTTGACTTATTATTTACTTCATTCTATTATTTCGATATAACTTCAAATAAGAAATAGTCTATATGAAGAGATATAATTTCAAAATTAGATTTATTTTTACCTGTTGCCAATGATCCTCGAGCGATGGCTGGGCCGAAAAATATCCGGTATCATGTATATCTTGCAATTCCCTAAATATGTTTCCACTCGGCAGGATATCCATGGTTACGCCGGTGATCCGTTCGTAACTAGTTTCAGCACAAAATAAAAAACTGATTTTTTCGAACCAAATTAAACCAACAAGCAAATAAACAAACAACAAAACTCTATGCTGTTATATTCGTAAACGAGGACTTAGATAATAACGTAGCCCGACTACGACTCACTAATTACACCGATGCGCCGATGCGCAGCTCGTAACTCTAACGCACGCACGTACACGTAGCAAGTTGTGACACGCACACGTGCTTATCATCGAAGAAGCGCCGACGATGGTTACAACGACGTCACTGTAGTAGGATGACCGACAAACCGATATGGAGTGAGAAAAAAGGTTTACAAGCAACCACTAGTCGTTGAGAGAAAGACTGGCTAACTGCTTCCTTTTTCCGCGCTCGCACATATACAACGCACCCTACTGGCTCATATTAAAAGAAGAATATCTGATCGCACAACCGGCGTTTTATTGCTGTTAGAACGCTGGTATAATCGCTAAAAAGAAAGCAGCACGCGACACACTACACGATCTTTAGAGACAAAGAAACTCACTGCAAAGCCGTTGCTTGTGCAGATCGACGATCTGTCTGTTCTTGATAGCGTCGCGTACACAAAACACGCGCGACAGCATCCATCATACGTGGAACGTGACAACAAGAAATCTTACAATCACGAAAGACGAAACGTCAAAGCCGGCATGAGTCACGATCCGATATTCGTTCGATTCATTCGGTTTTTTCTTTTTATCTTTTCTTCTTCACTTGTGTTTGTTCGTTACGTTCTAATTTTTTCAACTCTTTATCGATTCTCTTTTGTCTCTTTTGTCTATTATTCTTTTCTTTCTTTTTCTATTTCCTTTTACTTCTTCTTCTTCTTCTTCTTCTAACTATCTTTTTGACACGAAATTTTAAAGCCAATCACTATTAATCTTCTATCTTCACTGGTTTTCTCCTTTCTTTCTTTTTATTTCGAAAACTCGTGTACATATACACTCTAATGAAGAACACACGCGGACGTCACCTACCGGCTTTTTTCCCGCAATACTTGCGAACGTGCCGTCGTTGTGTCACTATTTTCAATCGCGTCGATCACAACAATTATGAATTACGTACACATCGCTGGGAATGAATAAAGAAACACCTATGAGATATTTAACACTCTACAAGGAGTAACGATATCCCTAACAGTTAACGCACACAGACTCTTCCGCGCGAGCGCCGAAGAGTGACTGACGTTCTCTTGCCATAACTATACGCGAGGAGGCCCGAACTCGGCCGAGTAATACCGAACGCGTGCTTGCTGCCGGCGACACATTATCACAGCCGGCAACCGCTTCGCGTCGTGGCAGCACTGCTCGGTAGCGTCGCGACGCCAATTCCCTTAATTTTTTCATTACATTCATGGAACAATCTTTGATTTACGTTCTATTTTCTTTTCAAATATTCTTAAACAAAATAACTGGGATTATATTTAGGAAAAAGATTTTTACAATGTTATATGTTATGTATGAATTAATAAATTAAATTATTTCTTTTTTTTCTATATTAAAGATATAATCTAAGTATATAGTTAATTCAATTATAATTAGAAGAATAATTTTCAAAAGTTTATTAATATAATTAATCAAAAAAATATTGGCATATTTTAAAATATGTTAACAATTTAAACTATTTTAAGAAGTTGATGAATTAATTTTGCTAGATAATATGTAAACAAAATTTCTAAAAAATTGCAATTTATCGAAATCTCAAAGAAAATAATGGAAAATATTTCTTCCAACTTTTTTATCTGAATCTTTAGTAAAGATTTAAAAATTGTTTTATAAATTTTATATCAGTTATTTTTTTTGTTGTAAATTTGATTTTGCTATAAATTAATTAATGCAGAAAGAAATAGCAGACATTAAAAAATACAAAAATCTTTTTTTTAGACCGCAAGTTATGAAAAATTGTGATCTTTAACCTAATTGTGATTTGTAACTCACAACAACGTTAACCGATTTTGAATTAGCTTGTATAACTGTATAAGTTTACAAAATATTTTTAAATTTTTATTAAAAGCTCAAATAAAAAAGATTACAAAAATGTCTTTTTTTTCGCAGTTATAATAAATTGCAATTTTTTCAATATTTATTTTACATATCATCTAATAAACTAATCTAATTAATTTAATTTTTAAAAAAAATTCAAGTCATTAAATCCAATTTTAAAAAAATTATTTTAAAGAATGTGTCAATACTTTTTTAACCGATTATATATAAATATACATAAAAAAATATATAAATATATATATATATAGTTTAATAAAACATCATTATATGTTTTATTTCTTTTCATACCAAATTATTAATTTTTTAATAGATAATAATCTAATCATTATCATGAGTAATAATTACTTCCTTTACAGCATCAATTATATTTCTCTGTTCTACTCTTTTTCTAATCTTCTACTCTTTTCTAAGCCAAAACTCGAATAGATTATAGTTAAAGTTTAGTTATTACTAACATTATTCATTTATTTTTTTTAATCTATATTCATTGTTTTAATCATTATATTTGATAACTATTTTATTCGACACTCACTTCAAACATATATATATATATATATATATATATATATA